GAAGCCACATGGACCTACCCCGATGCAGCCCTGGGTGCTGGAGCAGCCGTGTGGAGACCCCTGCCAGCGCTGAGATGTTTACACGCTCACTGATTCGGTGTTTTGCAAGTTTGAGGAGGACTGCAGATCGGTGTCAGACAAATGGGCTAATTTTGGACTTGTGGACTTGGGCGGCACTGGGTTGGGATTGTGCACTTGATGTGCACTTACCCTTTATATAAAACTCTCTCTTATACATGAGTTTCTGTGGATTTGTTTCTCTAAAGGACCCAAACTAATACACCACCCGTCTGTCATATGGAGGTGACCTGCAGGTGGCTGTGATGCTGGAAGCTAGGCCGCCAGTGGTTGAAGTGCCAGCTGCCTCATTCATAACGGATGGGTCAAGGGGCACTTCCAGACCGAGCTGGACTACGGAAAAGGCCTAGCAAGCCACTTCTGAAGAGTATCCGGTGAGAAGCCTCCAGTTCACAACAGAATACTGCCAGGTGTGGGAGTGGCAGTGCTGGGAGGTGATGTCCCGAGCCTGCATGATAGCTACACTGTGCAGCATCGGCAGAAAGGACAACCTTGGCCATACCCCCGCCTGGAGACGGTGCAGGCCCGTGCAGGCCCGGGTGACGTTGCTTCTGCTGCGCATGAATGGAGGTGCCAATGAGGAAAAACAGGCAGGACGGGGTAGAATTCTTGGTCTCAAGAAACTTACGTTTTAAAAGGAAACCACCTTCAAAAGTTTAATGAAAGTGCAAGATAATCCACCACAGACTTCCCGGAAGGCTGCAGCAGTTCTGGGGAAGAATGCATCATCTCAGCCTGGAAGCATGATGTGTCCAGGGTGGTGCAGCTACTCCTTGAGTAGGTCCACTCGGAGAGGGGACCTATTCTGCAGGGTCAGCCACGGAAATCCGCCTGGAGGAGAGCCCTTGGGCCCCAGTGAGGTGGCCTGGAGTTGGAGGGGACTGGCCTGGTTTGCAAGGTGGAGTGCAGCCTTGCAGCGTTAGTTCAGGGCTCGGACGGAGCCGTGCGGCCACAGTCATGCAGGGGCGCTTGTCCAGACCCCACCTTCCACAGAGCTCCGCTCTCCTACACGTGCTTTCCTGTTCAACCCTGTGAAGGGTCGGGACTGCTGACCCAGCGGCTGCTTCCCGGGCAGGAGCAAATGGAGACATGGGTCACAGAGCCAGCGAGTCAGCACCGGGCTCAGACTCCAGGGCCACCGCGCAGTCCAGCCAAGGCCCGTTGTCGCTTCCTCCGTGAACATGGGAAGAGGACAAAGAACTGTTCCCTTGGGAGCATTCTAGCGTTCCTCAGGACACCCCCGGCCCCAGAATCCCTCGGGAGTGCAGAGGCAACCTGAAGGACTAAGAGCAAAAGACAAAGCTGTTTCCTTTCCTTAAGATCCAGGAGGGCAGTGCTCTCTAGTTTGGGGAGGGGGGAGGTTCTTGGCCATTAGCCTGTACGCCGAGGGCATCCACGTTGCTGTGATTATGAATGAAGACGAGTTAGGGAGCACCGGAGCAGGTGGGCTGGAGGGGGAGAGATGGTTGCTTCTCCACACCTTGCCACCTCCCTCACACGGCTTCTTGGCATTAAGCCGAGAGGGCACACAGGCAGGCAGGCAGGCATGGGAAACAGAGGTGTGCGGACGGCCGATAATCCAGGCTGCTGCGGAGAAACCAGCTAGGAAAAGAAGGCTGCTGGGAGACCCGTGGACAGGAGGCACCGGTGTTTGCTGGAGCTCTAGAAATCCCAAGAACTTGACCAAACTGTGCTTGTGAGGTGGTGTGGGGGGCCGGAAGGTTAACAGTTCGAAACCACGAGCTGCTTCAGGAGAAAGGCAGGCGTTTTACCAGCCCCAGTGGAAGCCTGCAGAGGCCGGTCTAGCTGCCCTACAGGGACGCTGAGTTGGCATCACCTCGATGGCAGTGAGTGTTAGGGGTTTAGGTGCTTGTTTCTAAATTCCTACGAACAGCATCATCAACAAATGTACGCCTATCAAGTTGATTCCAATCCATGGTGGCCTTGCAGGACAGAACAGATCCGCTGCATAGGGTTTCCGAGACTATAAAGGTAAATGTATACGGGGCCACGCCCCCACTTTCTGAGGAAGCCCACATTCACAGCTGTTTGATTGCCAGAAACCCTGGGCTACAGCAAGAGAGTTCTGCGGTATCCTGAACAAATGCTTCCAAGAAAGCCAATCTGGGAGCCTTCACTTCAGGAGGTGGCCCCTTCTTAGGAGGCAGGAGACAGAAACATTTCCCTAACTGCTCTCAGCAGGAGAATTCTGCTCTTACAGTGAACTGGGCCCCATCTACCCTGAGCTGTCTTGGCTTCTGCGCCCTAAACCTTGCTGCCGGGGCGGCGCCTTTTCTAACACAGAAAACTCGGTGCCGGCCAGCAGACCCACTCACTTCATGAAAAGCCCCATCTCAGCCCCACAGGCGGGCAGGAGTTAGCCCCACGTGGTCTGAGAGAATACACCTGCAGTTTATTTTGAGTGACACAGTAGTCCCCTTCCACTTCAGATCAACTAGCACCTAGCCAAGTCTGTGAAGAGGGACTTCAGCACCCTAGACTACTCCTCCACCACCCACGCACTCCCTCCCTGGGACCACACCCCAGCCAGCGGGTAAACACAAGCCGCCACTAGCATTCCTGGACTCCATCAGCTCTAGCTGACCAGCGGGCAAGTCTTCAGTAGAAGCCAAGTTCTTTGTGCTTCAGGACTCCTCTGGGAATTCCACACACAGGAACTGGGAGGGGGAGTCTTCCTGCGTGTGTCCTCCAGTGCTGTTTAACCTTCCCAGCTGAGCGAAGGGGCTCATCCAACTCTTATCACAATCCATACATACATCAATTGTGTAAAGCACATTTGTACATTCATTACCCTCATCACTCTCAAAACATTTGCACTCCTCTGGCATCAGCTCATTTTCCCCTCCCTCACTGCTCCTCCCTCCCTCATGAACCCTTGATAATTTATAAATTATTTTGTCATCTTACACTGTCCAACATCTCCCTTCACCCACTTTTCTGTTGTCCGTCCCTGAGGGAGGGGGTTATATGGAAATCCTTATAATCGATTCCCCCTTTCTACTCCACCTTCCCTCCACCCTCCCAGTATCGCCACTCTCACCACTGGTCCTGAAGGGATCATCTGTCCTGGATTCCCTGTTACTGGTTCGTATCTGTGCCAGTGTACATCCTCTGGTCTAGCCAGATTTGTAAGGTAGAATTGGGATCATGATAGTAGGGTGGGGGTGGGGGGGTAGCATTTAGGAACTAGAGGAAAGTTGTATGTTTCATCGTTGCTACCCTACACGCTGACTGGCTAGTCTCCTCCCTGCGACCCTTCCGTAAGGGGATGTCCAGTTACCTACAGATGGGCTTTGGGTCCCCACTCCGCACTCACTCTTATTCACAATGATATGATTTTTTGTTCTTTGATGCCTGATACCTGATCCCTTTGACCCCTCATGATCTCACAGGCTGGTGTGCTTCTTCCATGTGGGCTTTGTTGCTTCTGAGCTGGATGGCCGCTTGTTTACCTTCAAGTCTTTAAGACCCCAGACGCTGTATCTTTTGATAGCCGGGCACCATCAACTTTCTTCACATTTGCTTTAACAGCCCACCCACTCCTCACTTACCAACAGGGGAGGTTCCAAAGACCAGGTTGCTACATGAATGTCAGCATTACGCCAAAATAGGAATTAAGGAGACTGCCCCCTATCAGACCACAACATAGAGGATGATGACAGCATTTTTGAGGGGTGGGTTTTTTTTTATATTTTTTTATTAAAAGGTCATTTTATTGGGGGCTCTTAACAGTGCACACATCAATTGTAATCAGGCATATTTGTACATATGTTGCCATCATTATTTTCGAGACATTTACTTTCTATTTGAACCTTTGGTATCAGCTCCTCTTTTCCCACTCCCTCCCGCCCTCATAACTCCTTGATAAATTATTGTTTTCATATTTTACACTGACCACCGTCAACCTTCCCCCGTGGTTTCTGCTGATGATGCCCCTGTGGTGGGGTGGGGTGGGGTGGGGTTATGTGTCCATCGTGATAGGTTCCCCCTTCCTCCCCTCATTTCTCCACCTTCCTCCTACCCTCCTGGTATCACTACTCCCATTCTTGCTCATGGATTCCGCGTGGACGACATCATTTGGTAACTGCCAAGCCCTTGCAGGAATCGTGGCCCAGCCACATGAACACACAACCTGAGCCAGCACAGCCAGCATCGGCCCTGCCTGGGAACTCAGCATCTGTCCAGTGTGCACGGTCAGTGAGCTGACTGGCAGCTTTTTCTCACAGCGGCTGTAGCTCGATGTGCCGTTGACAAGAGAGTGGCTAAGTACGGAGGGAGGTACATGAACGAGGGGCGGCAGTGTGACTTTGGGAGGTGCTTGGTGTCAAACAGTTCAATCCACCTGGATGTGCGGTCTTCTCGACACTGTTCAGCCCTCTCGCCTTGCTGACGATCAGCAGCGTGTCCCTGTACGAAGTACCAGCTGGCTTCGACAACTCGGCACGGCCACTCCATCAGTTCGTGTCTCTCCTCTGCAGGAGCATCCTCAGACTTGGGCAGGTCAGACAGCTGAAATGTGGCCTCTCTGTGTCCCCCTCACTCGTCAGCCTCACACAAAGAGCTCCGTTTCACGAGCCAGGGTCTCACACTTTGGAACTGTGCGATGAACAGAAGCCGTTCTATGGTCCAGCACGGCCCAGGGCCACTAGCCATGAAACCTGACCGGCAGTTTCTCCCTTTCTGCTCTGCGGGATGGTGCACCTGCCCTAAAGCCCTCCCAAAATGTCATGACCCACGGGGGACACGCCCCAGTGTGTACATTTAGACAGACATTGCTCAGTAACTTCCAACAAGAATTCCCTCTATCAGAGCGGGGAAGAGGACTTGTTAACGTCTATTTAACGAGATATGCCTCAGCAGAAGCTCAGAACGAAACAAGCACTGAATCAACCAAAGCCAGATCCGAGGGGCCCACAAGGGGAGCTGCTCTTTATTCCAGAACTAGGCCTTCGACGGTGGCTAACGTGGCATGGTGCTCTTCTGGGAGAGGCGTGCACTCGTGTTTCACTGCTTCTTCATGTGCCTCCCCCACCCCAGCTGAGTGCCTTCAAAACAGGGAGCTATTATCTAAGCACCCTTGACAGAGGCTCTTCAGAGTTGAACTTGGACTTCCGAGTCACCTCCGCAATGCAGCATGGCAGGTCTCATGATTAAATCATTTCACTGGGGAAAGTTACACTTTGAGCACAAGACCAAGAGCCCGGTTCCCACCGGGTCCAGCAGGCCGGATGTTGGGCCGCTCAGGCGGAATGTGCCGGGGTCCCACAGTGCTTGTGCCACAAGTCGATGGCCTTGCTCACGATGGCGTCCGAGCTGTCCTGGGGGATCTGCAAGCAAGCAGAGTGACCGGCATGAGGCGTCAGTGCCCACGACACCACAGCGCCCTCACTCTCGGGTGGAACCTGCCTGCGACTACGGTCCCCTGGCTTTTCTGAAAGTGGAGCATAATGGGGGGTGGGGGAGGCAAACTACAGAGGGAAACAAGTTAGTCACCAAAGGTCAC